CAATCCAGTGATATTTGATGTGGGAGAAATGCAATCTTGTGTTGGTTTAATGGCTACTACTCCTTTGAGTTTATGGTCTGTTACAGCAGTTTCCACCATGACTAATTCTCTTATTTTTGAATCATTACAACCATGCCTCACTATACAGTTTTTCCAGCCAGCATTTGTCTTCCTTCTCAGGTTTTCATTTCTGACATCTCCCCAGTCTCWCCTGTGCTTCCCCCACCTTGRTCTGCTCATGTGCTTTCTGCTGTGGTACCTGTTTTAGCATCTGTCTCCTCACCTTTAGTGCACGTGTTTCCACTCCATCAACTTTATTATCAGCAGTTTTATAGCATGTATTTTGYTCCTCTTTCCTCATCTTTATGACCTTTCATCACCATGGAAAATGGAAGCTGTACTTTTCACTTTCCCCCACAAAGACACAACTCTGTGTAGCAAGAGGTGGAAAAAAGTAAAATGTTCTGTCTAGGAACCTTTCCACAGCCTCTTCTCCTGACTATGAACTGTTCATAGATTAATGCTCTGTGATCTCTTAGGGTGGTTAGAAATTAGGGAACACAACACTGGATCACCTCAGCAGCTGGTATAGGCACCTGCTCCTTTGCCAAAATATCCAGTACAGATGCCTCAGAGAAAGAGACAAGGGTACCTAAAAGAAATAGTGAGGAAACCAACTTAAAAGGAGAATCCATTCCAAAATGTTTAGCAATAAGCTAATGCCTTCAGAGATTTTAAGGCCAAGAGATACTAAATTAATCTTAGAGATCAAATAGTCCCACAGGTTGTTTATGGTTATATTTAAAGAAAAAGAAATAATTTCCAACAATAAAAGCATTTAGCCTTTCAAGCACACAAAATTTCATTTTTATCTTATCCTATAGATTTGCATCTCATTAATGTTCTCTACCCCATGCATTAATTMGTGTTCTTTCTGTTCCTGTCAGGTTACCCCCTCCTTACCTCGACAGCCCCACCCTTCGCTGTGATCACAGCGTGCTCATTACCCMGCTGCAGAACAAACACAGCGTTCACGGTTCCCGAGTACTAATGATAGGGCACAAAMCCACTCTGACAGGTTTTATTCTTTTCCTTTTCTTTTAATCACCCACCCAAGTCGTTTCCCCATCAGCACATGGGCTGCCTCTACAGAGCCACCTGCAACGACCCCAAATCTCTTCCCAGTTTACTCACAAACATAAGAGTGTCTCAGATACTCAGATTGCTGCCAGCAGACATCCCTGTTACTCCTGCCACGTGTACTTGGTGACAGGCGTGCTGGCTTATGTAACACCTTTCCAAGGCTGACACATATCTCCTCTCTATCCTTTACATGGRAAGACACAATTTCATCTTGCTTCCCAGGCTGCTTAGCGCAGTACCTAGTATCCCGATTTAACATACCAATATACTTAAAATACTTCACACTTAACTGAGACTTACTCCATTCTTTAACCTTGTCTCATCATGAAAATTGGTACTATTTCAACACACCAAATCCACCGTACTTGACGTAAGTTCAAGTTGATGCTTCCCACTTATTCTTCAGACTTGTTTGCCTTTGCCTTGCAAGCGATTTTACAAAAAAAAAAAAAAAAAAACCAAAAAAAACTCTTCCATTTTCCAAGAACATTTTTATGTTGTTTTTGTCTTTTCCATAAGCATTCTAGCAGACTAGTGCAAAAATTGTTTCCCTTAAAGAAAGCATTTGGCATTACCCTTTAATTTACCTGTCTACTGAAACAGCAGGTAAACCATGCAAAGTATCAGGATCACATTTATTATCACTGTCAATGGCATCTGTTTGCTCTCAATCTGCATAGTAACTGACAGTCGACCAGGAATATGAAAGAAAACATATTAACCAGCAGGATATTCTGTATCTCTCTTTTAAAGCAAATTGGCTGAATGGGAATTAAGAGTCACTYAGTGAGCTTAATTTTATTTTTTTTATTATTGCAAAAACAACATCAAGACCGGAAAGAYGAAATTAAGAAAAGACCCATTTAGACTGAGTATCAAACGTCCTAAAAGCAAAATCTGTTCAGATTTGGGTGAATCTCTAAGGGGAAGCTGAAGAAGACCCATTCAGTTGAAAAGTTTAGAAAAAGCACCAAACACTGGAATGTAAGATGTAACAAACATCGTCCCTGCAGCAGCAGGGGGACTGGCATGAATATCTCATTATTTCCAACATAACAGCTTAATGTGTATTTAATGGCATTGAAAAGCATGGGTGTCATCAATTCCACTCAAAGTCATAATTTATGCAAYACATGAAACATTTGCATCAGTTCCCTGATCATCATAAGCATAGCAGAAAGAATTCACCRAGCACTTACTCTTCTACCACTGTCCTAATTTGAGTTTCCAAATCCCCAGAGGCACAGGGTAGGGATCTCCCCAGGTTCTGTACCTCAGAGGTGCACCCTTACTCCCAGCCACCCAAACTGAGCCTGCCTCCATCTCCCAAAGATGCACAACTYGCCTTKAAATTTGCTGCTGGCACTGGAGAACTCAGGGAGAGCTCAYAGTGTGAATGACCATCACAGCCTTCTATGCCAGAAGCTTACTGCTGTAGCAATTTACCTCAAAAATTCACAGGAACACTCATTCAAGCTGCTTGTACCTCCGGTTTGCAGCACAAGCACGCCTCCTAAAATCCAGTGCACTGAGCTACTACAGTCCCTGATGAACAAAGTCAATGACAAAAAGGTTTCTGGAAAGTGACATTGCTATACATTATTATTTTATTATCTATGTAATCAGAGCACCAAGGAGCCTCAGGCATAGCCAGAGATCCCACTGTTCCAAATGCTGTGCCAGCACAGRAATCTCACAAACCAGCAAATATCTGTACTTCTCATAACAGTGAGGGAACAGAAAAACAAGTTGTCAAGGAAGGAGCGGGGAAAGTGCCACTAAGGAAAGATCTCCCATGGATTGAAAATTAACTACCTGCCAGTACATTAAGCCTKGTGCTTCTCAAACCTTTTGGGTATAAAACAAAAGATGTTTACCAAGTGTTTAAAGGACTGCAATACCCTCTGATAGGCTGTGCTTTCTTACAGCAAAACTTCGTCCTTGTCTGAGTCTGCCCAAACCAGAGTCAATCTCATCGGGAGCTGATGTGATTTTAATGGCAATACATCCAGGTCACTCAAATTGGGCTGAATTGAGGCAAATGACAAAGTTTTGAGATCAAAACTATTAACCTCTGTTCTTCCCTTTTGGAAAGCAGTTCATCTGCTATCCTGATTCTTTGTAAGCTTCTTTTTYCCCCCTCTCTCTCCATCCAGGTATGTTTCTAATTACATTTTCTGGGATGCACACTTTAATGGCTGCACAGCATTTTAACCATGTGAGTGAGGGCTTTCTGTGTTTTAAAAAGTATTCAAGTCAAGTAAAACAACGTTGTTTGCCTCTGAAAAGAAAGCAAAAGCACAACAGGTCCACATCCAAAGGGGYGCAGGAGTGGGGCTTGGGCAAGGATTTGCACACCTAAAGCCCAATACAAGATACTCAAAGTACCAGCTCTATACTTCTGATACCACTGCACAGGTTCAGTTCTCACCTTTAACCATCTGCAGAGGTTCATTTATTTTTGAAGCAGAGTTCAGGATGAGAACAGCTCTCAAAGTACCTGTTTCCCTTCACTAGCTGRAAAGGGAGAGGTAATTTAAAGCAGGTCACTGCATACATCCCTCTCWCTGAGAATTACTAACATTTAGGGAAAACATGCCCTGAGAATGATGAAYATTTAGGAGAAACMTGCCYGAAACAGRCACTGGTTTGCCAGACATCAGCTCTCCCTACTGCAAGATTTCCCATRCTAGACTAGCACTGAGCTCTGCCACTTGGAAGACAACAAGTAAATTTCATAGGCAAAGAGGGAATATTCCCCTGSTCAGAAATGCCCTCTTTCAYCACAGGAAGGAGATGTRGGCTTCTGSACCCCCAGASCAGGRGGTCCCACACWGCAAWAGCCTCCAAGCACGGATCAGGACCCCTCACCATGGCAGTGGTCATCCACACCCAGCCCACTCGGAGAATGTACAAATTATTTCTTAATAAACGGTGAAGTAGGGAAGCTCTGTTCCCAGAGCATCCTCGGATAGGAAGGAGTTGGAAGGAAGGGTACAGAGTGCTGTTAACCCACTTACAGGCTYCTGCTTGCCAGAGCAGAGCCCCGGCCACCCAGACCTGTTCGGGAAGGTGATGCCCAGCATCCTCACCTCTACAGCTGGTTTAAAACACAGGAAAGACCCACTTGCTCTCTAAAAGCAGCAGAGAGGATTTCCCTGCATGTAGGACTGAGGATGGAAACCCTGGAAAAGAGCTTCCTGAAGTCCAGGTCCCTTCCCGGGAAACCTCGGGGGCTGCACATCCCTGTCCGGGCGCCTCAGCCCCGCATCCCGCACAGGCGTGCGGAGCGTCCTGCTCCCAACACACCGAGTCCCTCCAGGTTCGGCTTCCTACAGCAGTAGAGAGCCGGAAAGTTTCTCTCCCCAGGTCACGCTCGTGGCTCAATCYCGGACACCCCGAGCTGACACCGGCAGGGCAGGACAGCTTCACACACCACCCCTCCCTTACTCCCCACCTTTGCGCTGATTTAATACAGTATTTAGAAAAAGAGCGAGGCCGGCTGAGTCCATTTGGGGTGGGATTGCTACAATTTCCAAGCACCGGAGGGATCAGCGATAAATACGGGCAAGGGGAGTGAAGAGCCGGTCCGAAATCCACGGCCAAGGGGGCAGCTCTGCCCGTGATGTGGGAAGCTCGGCCGCCCCACAGAGCCCCCGCCCGCACCACGGCGGAGGGTCCTTCCCGTGGCTCTGACCCCTTTATCATCCCACGGACAGCTCCGGGAGAGCCGGCAACACCCAGCAACACCCAGCAACACGCCCTTCCAGGGATGCCACCCTCCTCCCGAGCCGGTGCGTACCCCCCACCCGCTCTTACGGATGGGGAAAACCCCAAGAGGAGGAGGAAAATCTCACCTCTTCGCAGGGCGGCAGCTGCAGGGCGGCCGCCTGCCAGCCCAGCAGCCAGCAGCACACCCAGGCGCTGCCCGGGTACCCCCGCTCCGCTCCGGCCCGCCGCATCCTCAGCATCCTCAGCAGCATCATCCTCCTCCTCCTCCTCCCGCGCCGCGGAGCGCCCGCGCACCCCTTCCCGGGGGCGGGGGGTGCTGCTGGGATCACCGCCCCCGGCTCCTGCCGGACACCTCCGAGCCCCGGCCGCGGGCTGGCCCTGGCCCTGCGCCGCTCCTGCAGCCGGGCATAACCCCGGGGCTGTCGGACACAGCGGCCCCGCGGCCGCCCCGGCAGCGGCACCGCCAGAGCCGGGAGGAGGAGCCGGCAGCGCGGGGAGGAGGAGCGGCGGGGGGAGGAAGGCTGGTAGCGCAGGCGCACGCTGCTGAGGCTGGTCCAGCCCCGGAGTGGCGAAGGGAGCGCGGAGCATCCTCTGGTTGAATCTCAGCAGTCTCAAAACCTCCGGGCCGGGGGTAGCGAGGGGTGAAACCCGCAGGCACCGCCGGCAGCCCGGGCCCTGCTGGGGAGCGCGGCAGCACCCCCAGGCTGGAACCTCCGGCCCCGATCGGGATGGGAGCGGCACTGAGGGATGGAACCCCCTTCCCCAGCCCTGCCGTGGGGTGCTGGCCTGCCTCCCACCCTCTCCTGACCCCTGGCACCCCCGCTCCCATCCCTGCCCATGGCAGCGCCATCTCCCTGCTCCTCGGACGCTGAGGATGTCAGATGTGTCCCCGCTCAAGGCAGGATCCTGCCAGGCAGGATGTGCGCTGGAGCGCTCAGCTCCCGGCCAGAGCACGGCAGCGACCTGCTCCGTGAGATGAGAGCCGCTTATTCGTGGCCTGACCCAAATTATTCTTATCCCYAGAATTATGCACATTTCTCCTCGGTGGTTGCCTTTCAGTCCGAATTTCGTCTCCTGTTCCCCAGCAATGTCCGACTACTCATTCGTAATGAAGTGTGTGGCTGCTTCAGGCACTGATCGTCCTTTGCCTCCCTGGCATCTCTGCCAACCCTGCTCACTTTCCTGCTCCCTCCTGGGTCTTCCTTTCTGTCTCCTCTTATCTAACTAGCAAACCCCAGCACAGGGCTTCTCATGGCTAGCACAAGATGTTCCTGTTGATCCACCTTTTCAGACTCCAATGCATAGCCCTTTTTTTTTTTTTTTTTTTTTTTTTTTTTTTTTCATGGTTTTTTTTTTTTTTTTTTATTTTACTGCAGTTCCTGCTCACCATGATTCAGGTTTGACTCAGCTTTTATTCACCTCATGAAAAGAGACGCGGGGTATAAGGGCAGAGTCAGATCTTTGCTGCATCGTACAAGCCCTCTGTCCACCCCTGGCTGGTGTCATTGCTGTGTCTGTATGCTAACACAAGAATGGTTCAATTTCCTTATTTTCTGTCATTTGAGACCTTTTCTGGAGCAGTCAGAGGGAGCTCTGTAACGCTCTGCTAATAGAGACAAGTTTGCAATTTCCCTTTGTTCTTGTACAGAGCCTTGCTCTGCTTTTAGCTGCAGCTGGAGGGAGGAAAGTGGGTTATGGTGCTTCCATCGACAGCCCCATGTCTCACCAGGGTGCCAAACAAAGCACCTTGTGTAATCAGTAACATGAAAAAATCAAATTATCTTTCCAGAAAAAGTGGAGACAGGATAGAAACCCTGCTGCTGCTTTATGTTTTGTGCTTCTGCACTGGKTAGGTCACAAGGCTGGTCCCAAGGATTCGTTGTTCATCTTAACCACAGGATAAAATCCAGRGTATATGGAGCACTGATTTCAGCTGGAGAAGCAGTTCTCTTCACATTTGGTAAAATAAAACACACAAAGCTGCAGGCACCTSCAGGCATGCAGCAAGGGACTCACTCTGATAATATATGGGAAAAAAAATATATATTGGTTGGATTCAGCATGTCTTTCACACAAGGAAAATGGGTACAAGGTTAACTTGCAGAAAAGTGCACTTCTTGCTGCAGGTGCTGACCTTGAATAAAAATTCAGAGTGGGAAGCAGGTCAGGGGATTTGCTGGCAGAATTGCTCTCTTCAGTGTGGCGTTACTGCTGTGATTCCCAGGGACCCTCCAGGAGGCAACAGGGCCAGCAGAAGTCAGTTCAGGTGAGCAGAACTTCCATACAGAACAGAGATGGGTGAGGAAAGGGAGTATCAGAGTGTGCTTTGTCAGCTACTCTGTCACCCTTTTGCACCACTAAATTATTTATCCTCAAAGCTCAGAGCAGGGCAAAGTCAATTACAAATAAGAGGTTACATGTTCTTCTTCAGGACTCACTGTATGTTACCAARGCTTATTTACTGTCCTCTGTGGGACTTGCTGTCTTCCTAGCAAGAAAAATCACTAAGATCTGAGGGGATTTTTTGGTCTTAATTTATGTTTCCAAATGGCACAAGGTCAAGGAAATTACTTGAGCTTTAAAAGCACTATTGTCACTTTGGTTGATGTGCTATTGGAACAGGATCTGAAATGCCTGTGATATGAAATCCTACAAATCTTACCTGAAAACAGGAGGGAAAAAAATCTGCAGTGCATAGTAACTATGTGGCCAGCAAAAAATAAAAAGTATACTATTTTAAAAATTAATGAGCTTAGATAGACATGAACAAATGAGGTAGAGGAAAGCAGTGTGGGATTTGAGACATATTGTGTAATTTTTACTGACAAAAGAAGTATCACCTATATATAAGGCAGCAGAGATAAAGGAGTTTTAAATGTAGGAAGAACAGAATAGCAGGGAGTGAAACAGTTTTGAGATCTGTATCTGAAATCTTGACCTAATATTTTGAGTCAAGTGAAAAGATACAAAAGTAATTCAGAAGATTTATGCAATCTAACTTATAAACAATTGCCCAGCTTAGCTATATGAAAGTATAAAATAAAAAGAAAGGAAAAAAAAGCAAAGTAGTAAGTAATAATTTAAACTGCAACAACTGTGTAATGTGTTTCAAGGTAGATCTCCYCTATTGCCTGAATTTTATTGTGCATCAGCCTGGTATAAGTTAAAGATGTAAAAGTGCACCTTTATACTGCTCTTCTAAATTGTGCCTAGAAAAAAAAACAAGAGCTTTCAGGCATTTAAAATCCAGATCTGTAAACAGTTCTGCCTGACACCAGCAAGAAGCTGAAAGTTAATCATGGACTTTGATGYTTGCAAAGCTCAAGCCATAGGTTTCCCCGGTAGCCACAGAGCTGGGGCAGGGAAGGAGCCATATGTCACTAATGTTAATGACACCAAGTGAAAGGGAAAATTAAATGGCTGCCAGCCACTGTTTGGATGACAGCAATTAGTGAGTACACTTGGGATTAGTCAGGTCTGGAGGCTGACAGCGGCTTGCTTGCGTGGGAATACATCACACGGTAAATGAAGCTATTAACCCTTTTCTCCTCTGCCTCTTTCTGGTGAAATCGCTTAAAAACCTTGTCTGCACTCACATTTCACTGTGACTTTTGGAAAAGCTGGTCAACTTAGAGCAATTTCATGGAGTTTCCTTGTTGAAACTCATTTTCTGATGTTGTTGATTATCCACCTGCTGAAATTTTGTGATTGCTCTACAACAGTAAGTGTTTTCCCTCAGACGGTGATGTGCTAACACATCCACCTATCACAGTGTGTCCTGCACAGACTTCTTTTTCTGGTGAACCATATATTTGCCCATATATACCTGGTCATCTGTGCACTTTCCATGAGGAAATATTTTATCTGAGACAAAAATTTCAAGACAGTATGCCATCCTGGTGCTTTACAGAGTGCAGTTCAAGACAGTCTTACAATAAGTGCTTGCTCCTGCAAACATTCACACTTCTGGATCCCCAAAGTCTTCAAGCTCTTTGGGAATTCAAGACACAATATGGCAATGCTAGAGGAATGTTTATACCTGCACCTCTGGTTCAGCTCTGACCTACTTAGACCTCACTTATACTTTCAGGTCATTCAAGGACCATCGTGAATCCATCCTAGAATAATCTGGAGAACCCTGCTGAGAAAGCTGATGGGATGGCTAAGCAGTCATTGTGAAAAAAATGGGTGGCATTTGCAATGAGCTCTCCCTRAGGTTCTCCTGTAGCCCATGGAAGAACCCAGTGCTGGGATTCACCTCACTAAACCTTGTGACCCATAATTTGTAGGGCTTTGGGAGTACTGTTCACCCTCCCCTAGAAAATAAGTTATAAACACATCAGAAATCTTTTTTCTAAAGGGTACTGAAAGCATCCAGAGCTGAAAGTGAAAGTAGCCTTCATCAGATATGTTTTAATCATCAGTTTTAGGAGGAGTTGAATGTCTTTTCTCTCCATTAAATGCATGGGCAGTTCTGACACAGACATGTACACATGGTGAAATGAGGCCCACCCTAGATCATATTCTGCCTGGTGAGTGTCCTCTTTGAACAAGGCTCATGTCCTCCAGTTTTGGGTGTGTATTTAGTGGTACAGGTCTGACTGGCTCCTACCCTACACTCAGCCCCACCTGCATCCAAACCAGAGCGCAGCACAGGGAAAGGGACCTGGCACAGGGCTTGCTGGGCTGTGTGATCTAATTGTGAGGATTCTTCATGTAGCTGTAGCCTCCTGATGTAAATCCACACCTGAAAAACCAAAAAAATAAGGCTTTCTGGATAGAGAAAAGCCAGGAGCAGCTTGTACCACCTTTTCTTATTTCTCACTCCTCGATGTACCATTCAGCACTTATCCCTTTCCCTCCTTTGCTCTTCAATGGTGTATTTTTACCTCTTCTCCCTAGAGATGTTTARAGTACCTGTATTTTGCTTTTCTAGCAAACTTCATCTTTTGGATCCACTTTAAACCTCTTGGAGCCTTCCATCTGTGATTTCTTGCTTCATCCTTTCTCTCATTGTTACTTTAGTTGAATTTTCCTGTAAATCTTGTTCTTGGGTCRGCACTAGAACATCTTCTTCAATAGATACAAGTTAATATTAGATGTGCAAAGGTTAGGCATAAAAGACCYAAAGCACTTCTACACCATTTCTATCCACAAGCCTGGAAAAAAGAGAGGTTAGAAATACAATCTGCCTTGCTTGAATCTGAATCACAAGAAATTCATCTGTAAGAGCGGAATTTCTCTGCTTTTGAGATAGCCACATGATTTGACAGCTCTTCCTTTGCTTTCTAGACTAAGAGGAGAATATTAATTTTCAGTTGTATAGACCATCTGATTCTCTACCTTAGCATGCATAGAATAAAAAGAAATGTTCACAGCATTAAAATCAGTTATCATATTTGTTTTGAGCATGAAGGAATAGCAAGAGTAAATATTTCCAAGACAACTGGTGACAGACAGCAGGATCAGCATT